AATTTCCAAAGGTTTAGGATAAACAACAACATAAACAACCATGTAAGCACAAAGTTTGGAGTCTTTATCAGAAAACTGCACTAAATTCTCAGCCAGTGATATGATTCAGTATGTATGAAGGCACTAGTTTAGATAGAAACGGCAATAAATATTTTAAAATGACGTGTACAATTAGAGCTTGTGTTTCAATACGTAGAAAATAATAGATGGAAAATTGATCTCACCAATGTATAATCTGATAACTTGTATGGATGATGTTTTGGTGTTTCAATACATAGAGAATAGATGGGAAGTTTATCTGAGCAATGTATAATCCAAAGAGTTCTATGCTTTGGGAGCTCCCAAACTCCCCCTAACTCTAAAATTTGTAATGCTTTATTATATATCTATATATATAAAGCAAAAGACAGAGAATGGTGAAACATTCAAAATACCAAAAAATGTCCTTGGTTAAGGCGAGCATTAAGAATTGAAATTATTATTAATTAAACAGGGATAATATGGTAAATTCACTTTTTTCATATTAAAAAAATTAAAATTAAAAACAAGATCAGATATAGGTCTTATTTTTATGAAACATAACTACCATGTTATCTTTTCTTATTTTTAAAAATAAAATAAAAAAGAAAAAAGAAAACCAATTGGCACATGCTCACTAAGGGGCTAGTAATACAAATATCACAAGTATATTAATACTGTTTGTTTGCATTTTTTTATTTTTCTGTTGTATTTTTAAGAACTTAAGGCCAAAAATGGAAACTTACAAGAATTTTATGTTGTGCCTAGAAGAAAGCAAATAGATGATCCTCTGAAAATGCCAAGTGCCACACGAATTTATCTATATCCCTTGTATCCTCTCATTCATTAATGTCTTAGCCTCCTCGGTCCTCACTATCCCCCAAATGGAGGACCAGTCCATTAAACATATATAAATGTATTTCCACTACACTATAAGCTTATAACACATAATTTACGGTGCACAAAACACACCGTAAAGTGCAATTCAAGGCATGAGGTTGCAAGTAGTTCGTAAATAATGTTGTACTCAGTTAATTTTTGAATTCGTTTAGCAGCACTCTTTAAAAACCATTTAAAACATGACACCACATATTTTTCCCCACACTTCTCTTCTTCTCCATCTTAGCATTTGGACAGCCGAACTCTTTTATCTCTCAAAACCAAGCCCAGCAGAACCTCTTCTCCTTTCAATCACTCTTCTTCTCCAAACTTATAATTTTTTCATTTTTCTCATCTTTCAATTCAGAAAATTCCCTAAAATATTTGAAGAGGATACCAACTAGCTGCCCTCGTTTCCACACTTCTTTAGTAATTTACATATATGATATCCCCAAAGCTTTGCCATATTTTATAATGCATACTCATCAGTTTTTTATTTTTTTTGGTGTGTGTGTGTGGTCATGAATCAAAGATTTCATTGAAAAAAAGACAAAGACCGTAGATAGGCTAACCTTATCAACACTTGGCTGAGAAGGCAATCATAGTTGTTTTTTGGTTTTAGATGTTGGATTCATTAAAATAAAATAAAAAATTAGACGGCATGAAATACTATGTTTCTTGGGAAAAAAATTTAAAACCCCGAAGCTGCAAAATTGAGTATTTTAATAAGAGTGATTCCCTTACTTAGTATTACTTATTATTTGATTTAGCATCAAGAGGAATGAAATCAAAGAATTATGTTGAACGTTTTTATATCATTAGTTAGATTTAGGATATATCAAAAAGAACAATATTGTCCAGATTTTATAGTTAAATTTTTTTAGAATCAGAGTATGGAGAAAAGGAGATCATAGGGAGATCGATGAATGTTGGTTTTATTTTTTTTGGCGAGATAGAGTGTATTAGGGTGTACCATGGGTATTTTTGGTAGTTAAATAGGGTGTACTTAGTTATAATTTTACATTTTGATTTAAATATTAGAGTGTACTTAGATCATAGGGTGTACTCAGTTAATTTTAGAGTTCGTTTAGCAGCACTCTTATATTATTAGACTTCAATTGCTTTGCAGCGCGTTTAATACCAACTAGCTGCCCTCGTTTCCACACTCTTTAGTAATTTACATATATGATATCCCCAAAGCTTTGCCATCTTTTGTAATGCATACTCATCAACAATAAATTTAATCTAAAAAGAAAAAAAATGAAATTATTAGAAATAGAAATACAGCTAATTTAGACAACAACAAAAACAGAAAGAAAACTAATAATCATGTGCATAGTTTTCAAATTCAGATTAATACATACAAATTCTCACCTAACACCAAACATAAGAAAAATTGCTGCTCAAGTCTGTACTAGAGCCTATACATAGGATGCTTCAAATCCAAAACAAATTGGATTACTTAATTTGACATCTTCCCACGTGGTAATGTGTGCAAGCTATAGAGAATGATACTATATAGAAGAGAAGATCATCATGAGCATGTATTAATCTAATCTAATTTATATTTCCACATCCACGTCTTACTAACCTAATCAAACCAATCTTAATCTACCTCATTCTAGCTGTTTTCCAGCCGCCGCCAGCAGCCATCTTGCTTTGCCCGTCACCTTATAATTTAAGGCATAATATGAAACGTACCACAACTTAATTTATTGATTTGTGAATCTATTATTCTTTATTAATCATTAGATGTCTAAGATTTCGAATCTCTGACCACATAAATAGAGGTGAAAAAGCTCAACCGATTGAGCTATACTACACTGGCGTTCATATTTTATTTTTAATCTTGTTTGTTCGAAAGGAAACAATAAAAATAAAAAGAGATGCAAGATGCAGGAAAAGTAGAGAAGAATATATAAAATTAAGGGTTAAATAAACTTTTTGTCTTTGGAGTTTTTAGATATAATTTTTGGTTCATGTGTTTCAATTAAATTTGGTCCATGTGGTTTACTTTCTTACAATTTTGGTCATTTTGTCTACTCGGCCCATTTGTACTCCTACGAGTGTGTACATTTACGTCAAGTTATTAAGCATAAAATATATAGACTAAAACACAAGTATTAAATTGACCAAATAATATGTATTTGACCTACAGCTAAACAAACATTATTCAACTTAGTATCATTTTTTATTTTCAAAACTATATTATGCATTATTCTTGTTTTTGAATTGGGTATTTCATCTCATGTCTTTTTGTCTCATTCTTTTATTTTTTTGGCTAAAGTTTTTATCTCCCATGTTCACTGGTGGACCTATAAATTTTGAATGGAATGGGCAATATTGAAAAGGCTAAAAGCTCTATAAAAAAATTTAGACAACTAAATACCCTTATAATTTAAACAAATACAAGCAAAAACATATTTCTCAATGTAAACTACACAATTAGTCTACGAAAATTCATATCAAATCATCAATTAATCTCACCAAAATCAAAATCAATTAAGCTAACCAAAATGCATATCAAATTATCAATTAAACAAACAAATAATAATTGATCTTACCTGGAGCTCCAGTCGTTCAGCCTCTTTCTCGTACCAACAGTGTGTACAACGGAACATCTTTCTCCTTGAGTTTGAAAGCCAAATTAGAAGGAAAAAAAAAACGAGAAGAAGAAAAAAGAAAAATATGCCAATTTCCACTACTGACACAACAACATCATATCAATTATTCTCTCAAAGAGAAAATCAATTATCAATTAATTTTTTTAGAAGACAATAATCAATTAACTTAACCTAAAAAAACTTTGATTTTATTGTAGACAAAAAGAAAAGATAATGTACTGTCCCTT